GTGGATGTAGTGATTGACAATTTCTATCTCTGTATTGTTTAAATACTTACAGTTGATTGTTAATATGTTTCATATATGAATTGCATTATAATTCCGCTAAATACAAATTCCTGAATTCCGCCCTCTCTGTGTTCTGGTTGGATTTTCGTAATTTGGTCATCTCGAAATACTAATACTACGATTACTAATAATTAAAACAGATCACCAATATCAGGTTTGATTGCAGAAGCAGTGATGCAAAGACTCGAAAACATAATTCTACCAAAGATCAAACCCAAGATTTGGATACGCTACGTTGACGACACATTTGTAATAATCAAAAGAAACGAGTTAGATAAAACTCACGACTTAATAAACAACGTCTTCAACGACATCGAATTCACAAGAGAAGAGGAATCCGAAAACAAAATACCATTTTTTGACGTCCTAGTCAAGCGAACAACCACAGGGGAATTCAAAACTCAGGTTTATAGGAAATCAACTCACACAGACAAAATCCTGAATTACAACGGCAACAATCCAATAACACACAAAAGGAATTGCATACAAACACTATTCAAGAGGGCCAGCCAGGACTTATTGCAGCACTCCCATCTTAAGGAAAATTGAAGAAAGATAGCTCGTGGACGTCTTTCAAGAGAATGGATATCCACGGAATTTCATCAAAAGACATATACCACCAAGTCAACCTATCAAACCAAAAGCCCCCAGGGAAAGCATAAAGAAAATCGCCTTACCATATGTAAAGGATGTCTCAGATATCACTACAAGACTCTTCTAACCCTTAGGAATTGACGTCGTACATAAACCAACAAAGTCGCTTCACTCAATTCTATGTCAACCAAAAGACTCAACAGCGAAAGAAGATAAAACCAACATCATCTACAAAATAAATTGTGACAACTGCGAAAAACATTATATTTGCCAAAGCGGACGTCCCTTGCGTCTTCGTATCCGCGAACATAAGCTAGCCGTCAAAAGACATGATATCCACTCCCTCGCTCATATCACTACACACAGACAACCACGGACATCAATTCGACTAAGACAATCAGTGTTCAAATATTAGCAGAGGAAAAAACAAGAGTGCTAGAGAATTTTTAAAAGCTTGGTATTCCAGTCAATCGTCAGTCAATAGAAACATCAAGATAGACAAAATCTATCAACCGATAAGAAAGAAACTTCACACACACAAAGGGTCAAAGTTCAAGTCAAAGAAACTATCAGTTCCAATACAAGTAGCCTAGAAGGTGAAAACACACAGAAGCAACCAATCACGTCCAAGGTCACCAGGAGAGATGATACTCAAACTCGTGGAGAAATCGAAAAGCTCACTTCATTGGATTGAAGTATGCGCTGAAGATGTCACCTAGTAGGATGATGAAAGCTTCTCAAATTAACTATCCAGTTCATAGAACACAACCACATCAAAAAGTTTTAACAACTGGATGACAAGGTTTCTGGAACAAATTATTGCTACACACAATCATATTAATTTTTGTCACACGGTTTCACAACTTGTCTTATATATACATTCTCTACTCTGTCTATCCCAGTTCCCTTTGTTGTTTGTTACCACTTTCGATATGGGCAGTACAGGCGTCGCGTCACTCTGATTGCTGTATGTGAGCGCTGTTAAACAAAGATTCACCCAGTGGTTAACCTCTGTCCCCCACCCACCTAAATATGTCAGTGGTAAGCGACATTTTGCATACTGGAATGTGACATATGAAACTGCGGGGGGGGCAATGTGAGTTTGTGAGTAGTCATGATACAAACCGAAGGTATTCAGCGATTAAACTCTCCCTCTCTCTACCTAACTATAATACTTTTGAGTACTCTCACCCTGTCCTGCCCGCTACGTATTATGTGATCGCATGCAAGTGAATGCAGTGCAATAGCTGAGCTTTGTTCCAGGTTATTTAACTTAGCAGGCTGAATCATTCAAAGTCTAGCTAAATCCTAATGTTCCACTAATCTAGTTGAACCCGATCTACTAGTTTCACTGGCCTATGTAACTGACCTCACTGGTTGTCATTACATGGTATCTGGTAAATTATATTATTTTTCTTCATTGGATTTATTGGGTCCTTCAACCGAAAAAGCTTATCACTGGGAGAGTTGAAGCTACCAATATTCCTCCTTTATTCGTCATGGTACTACAGAGGCTTTGAATTCCATTTTATTTTCGACATTTTTATGAGTAATACTAGTTTTTCTGTGGTTCTTCATATTGTGTTCCTTCAAGTTCCCAGTGGAATATAGGGCTTCAAGCTAGTGGCTTGAAGTTTCTATAGCGGGGTTTATTTTACAGGATGGGGTTGCTAGCTAGCCTCATGCCCAGCCTTTCCTCTTTACCAGTAATAATTCTGGCTTAGCGAGGTAAAGGAGTGCGTTGGCGGCCGGTGATCGAACCCCCGACCATGTGCATGGTCGGCAAGCTTCCTAACCGCTATGCCACCAACGCAGTTCTTCATATGCTTTGGATTTATTTAGATCTTCTGACCTACTAGTTCTGTTCTTCGCCCGATTATAAAGACATTCAACTGAACTTATCCTTACCGATTCTGGATAGGATGAATTGAAGTTCAAGTATTTATTAGAGTGTATATCGGTTTCCTATAAATTCCAACTGGTATCTAACCCATCATCTTGTTTTTGTTTTATTCTACAGTCTAGTATTGCCGTGCTAATTGTGAAATCGTCTGACTAAAATTGATTGATGATTATGACTGGACATAATTTATTCACGAAACCTTGTCATTCCATTGTTAATACTGCATCGCTGAGTAAAATACTCGAAATAAACTTATCTAAAATGTGGAATTATATTCTACCACCACAGTGCTCAATTTCTGCACTTACATTCCCGGGAATCAAATCCACCATGTTCAGGTTATGAGGCCGAGCTTGTCAATCATTGAGCCGGTTTGTAGTGTAGTGCCACTACAAGACAATGACATCGATTGCATCCCCTTTACCTAGCATAGTAGATCCCCGTAGACACGACTGTCAAGTAGAGCATCAGAACACTCATTCAGTAATGACCAGTCAAATGGACATTGACATTTATATTATTATTACTATTATCACATCCTTTAATTCCTAGAGGAACATAGGGCTTCAGTCACGCGTCTCCACTGCATTCGGTTTTCCGCCAACTTTTTCACCCCGCTTCAAGTCTGCCCACATGCTTTCATCTTCTCTTCACATGACCTCCTCCAAGTCACACTTGCACTGACGATGAACTCGCCGATTCCCATTTGGGTTCCATTCGAGTGATGGCTTGTCTAGTGATGTCAGTTGGTAATTTCCTCAGCGTATGGTTAATCCATCTCCATTTCTTCCTGCCTATTTGTTGCGCAGTCGGTTTCTCCTGGGTCGGTTCGCTCATTTCCAGAGATCCCAGTCGTTGATCTTTTCTGGCTGGCCATCTGATCTTGAGTGGTTTTGAGCAAAGACAACTGTTAATGACGGTCTGTGGCTTGTTTGAGGTGCTCTTTATGACGCGCCAAGTCTCTGATCCGTATAGTAGCACAGACTGACTTCACATTGGAGTTGAAAATCCGGATGTTATTTTTGATGGTGAGTGCTGTTAACCTCCACACAAACTTGAGAGTAATGAAGGCTTGCTTTACTTTCCCTATTTTCGCCTTGATATCCTCGTCAGTTCCGTTGGCCTATAGTTGAAACGATTCTTCTCAGGTCGGTAGGTGAAGGAGGCTGTTTCTTTCAGGTTCCTCCCATTTATGCTGGCTGATTGTTGTCTATTGTTGTTGTTGTTGTTGCTGTTAGTGTTGGCCAGGAATCTTCATCACCTACCTGTGTTTTCTCTATGTTCACCTGAAGTCCTATCTTCTCTGGATGCTTCTTCTACCTCCAGCTTGTTGCTTTTCACTTGCATGCATATCTTCCAGTTTGTGGGAAATCAGACACACATCACATCGGCGAAGTCCAGATCCTCCAAGTTTTTTGTGCGAGTCCATTTTATGCCTGTTTCCTCACTGCCCGCCGTTGTCTGTCACATCATCCAATCTACTGCAATCAGGAAGATCACTGGAGATAGGAGGCAGCCTTGCCTCACTCCCGTCCTTACTTCGAAGGCTTCCGTAAGTTTCCGGTTGTGGATTACTTGGCATGCAGCATTGTCGTGTAACTGTTGTCGATGGCACCCCACAGGTGTAGCGAGGTAGTTTACAAATCACCTCTCGATCGACTCTGTCGAAGGCCTTTTCAAAGTCGATGAAATTGAGTGAGGTGTAGATGTGACTTCCATTTCAAGCTTTGTTCAATGATGATCCGTAGTGTGGCGATTTGATCAATACATGGCTTTTTTCTCCTGAATCTAGTCTGTTCCAGTCGAAGTTTTTCATCCTGGGTGGCTTGTTTGATTTTCTCCAGGATGATGCGGCTTAGTATTTTGCTTGAGATGGACAGGAGCATAATTCCTCGCCAGGTTTTCCATTGTTTTAAGTCTCCTTTCTTCGGTAGGTTGAACAAGTATCCTTTCCTCCAATCCTCGGGCACCTTGCCTTCTCACCATGCCTTTTCCAGTAATGGCGTCATCAAGTCCGCTGTTGTCTCTGAGTCCATTTTCAATGCTTCTGCTTCTCCACTCAAAAAATCAAGTATCATTGGACATTAATAGCTATTGGGTGATTATCCTTAATTCTTACTGGAAATTCCTGGCTCATGGAGTTCAGTATGTTAGGTATGAAACAGATGCTCGTCATTAGCATTAGTTAGTGTCAGTACCACATCACGAACTGACAGCAATTACAATTCACAGGTCATTTAATCCTAACGTAATGGATTATTTGTCATCTAGTACCCCTTATAACCTGGAGGTAGTGGTTTCTACCTCTATTGGGGTGGGGATTGGCGGTTGTGGATGCTCACACTACCGAACAGTAACAAATTCTTCAGTTTCGCTAAAAAATCGACATTACAAACTAAAAACTAAAATTAGTGTGTAGATTCGTTAAGTGGATATGACTTACCAATCATAAGAGTAGCCAAAAAGAACACATAGATAATCAATTCTCTGAGTGTTGTATGGATGTACAATTCACGATTCCCACTAGTGTCTTCCGTTAATCTTGTTGCCCATGCACCTGAATGAGTATAAATTTTGAAAAGAAAAGACAGAATAAATAAATAAATAAATAAATAGCCATTCCATCAAATCTCCTTAACAATGGTTATCCTACAAGGTTTATTGAACGTAACATCAAGAAAGAATCCGCAACTAGAGAAATCACAGTCCCAAAGAAAAAACTTTATGAGCCTGGCATTCAAAGGTGACATCATTTCGGAATTGATTAAAAATCGTTTATCTAAATGTGTTAAACGCACTTTACCTGCAGCTGACTTGTAACCAGTTTTTACCAGCCGAAATATGATTAGACAATGCGTCAAGGATAGATTACCGCTTTTGTCCACATCTATGTGCATTTACATTTTACCTGCTCTTGTGGAGCTGATTATATTGAACGTTGTAAGCGTGATCTCCGAAAACGTGTAGCTGAACACTATCTCGTTTGATTGATGAAAGGTGAACGTAGAACTGCAAAACCGTCTATTCGTGATCATCTATTAGAGTCTGGTCACTCAGCCCCACATGATTCATCCTTCAAAATTATCTACATGGCAAAATCGAATCGATCCAAAAGTTTACGTTTTCTTCACTTATGTATAACTAGCCGAAGCTTTAGCTATACATGAACAGAAACCTAAATTATGTGTGTGTTGAAAAACGTTTTGTCAAACGCCTTTCTTTACCTTGATCATAGCATTGTTCTTTCTAGTTTTTATTTTATTTTGCCACTTGAATTCATTCCACTTCGCTTCACATCTTTATTCTTATCGTAAGCGTACTCCTAATTTTCAAAATTTTTAGACAACACTCGACATTTCTGATATCAATTCAGTTATAAAACAATCTTTAATATTTTTGTAATTTATCCACTTCAACTCTACCCTTTATAACATTTTAATTATCGTTATTCTTATCACATATATACGTACATTGACTGAGCAATTATCTAGTGCCACTTAATAACCTTTTTCTGTGATATAAATACGACTATACAGCTTGAAAATAAAGTCGTTGAATGGAGAAATTTCTTCGCTGAACAAAAAACTGTTTTTTTTTTACTTATAAATTTAATTGTATGAAGACAATTTAGCATTGAAATCTGAAGCCGTCATGCAAAGATTAGAATTAATAGCTCAGCAGTTCGCTCCGTCCTTCTCTATGGCTCTCAAACATGGCCAATACGAGTTGAAGACATGAAAAGGTTGACTGTTTTCGATCACAGATGTCTGCGATCTCTGTCTCACGTTAGGTGGTTTAATAAGGTAAGTAATGTTGACTTTAGGCGTAGAGTGTTGGGCAAAGAGGGAAAATCAATCGACGAGGCTATAAAGTTACATAGACTGAGATGGCTAGGTCACGTGCTGCGCATGCCATAACCATCGCCTCCCCCGACGGGCATTGTTAGCTGATATAGGTGCAGTTTGGAAAAGAGTAAGTGGTGGCCAAACAAAAACATGGTCTCATCAATCCATGAAATCCTTGACAGTTAAAGTGAGTCAGGTAGGGAGGTGCAGACTCCCGGGTTGAGGGCCTCGGGACTCTAGGAATCAATGGCTGGAGACAATAGGTAACACGGCTCAAAATCGTTGTCAATGGCGCAGATATAGTATTCAGTCTCTGTAATCTTTCATATTCCTTTCTACCATTACGCATTCTGTTTCACTCTTATACTTGTCAAACTCTATTGATTCTCTTCACTCATCTTCTTGTCTACCTCTGTGTGCTATTTGGAACGTGGCAACTCGAACTGGTGCACTTCGGTGCCAAGTTCTATGTTGAATCCAGACAGACAGACAGTAGCTCTACCTATAATTATTTAATTGAATTTTAGATTTTCCCATCGATTGATTAGACCGAAGTGCTTGGTCTCACGTTGACATGTCTGTCGGCTTCTTGTGCAGATGCTTCAACGATGTCTGAGCATGTAATCAGAATTTAACTCGTGGATGGTGACTAGCAGCAGAATCCAGGATGCGCATTTCGTCTTATTCGGGACTTGTCACCTGGATGTGCCTGCATTCCCCAGTGAATGATGATGTCCTCACCGAGGCTCTAACCCACTGCCTATAGATTCAAACGCCAAAGTGTTTTCCACTAGACCACTTGAGCCACAAGAACCACCTCTTGTACAATTAAACCAAAAGTCTGGGTACGTTACGTTGATGATACATTTATAATAATTAAGAGAGATGATTTAGAATATAATCATAAATTTATAAACAACATATTTGAAAACATCAAATTCATAAGAGAAGAAGAATTAGATAACAAAATCTCATTTCTAGATGTCTTAATCAGAATAAATAACACAGGAAATTTAGAAACACAAGTATATAGAAAATCAATGCACACAGACCGAATACTCAATGATAATAGTGATAAACCGACGATTACCAACCAAAGAAATTGTGTGCAGACATTTTTTAAAACAGTTCAATTACACACTGTGGCGCTACTCCGATGTTGAAGAGAACGGAGAAAAATACCTACTAACAGCCTTCAAAAAGAATGGATATTTACAAAATTTCACCAAAAAGTGCTTAAAATCGAATCACAACATCAACAAGAAACCATTCTCAAAGACCACGATATATAAAAAATATCTCTAAAATAACAGCTTGAATATCAAGACCGTTTGAAATAGATATAACACACAAGTCAGTCAAATCACTTAATTCACTATTATGCAAACAGAAAGGTCTAACAGAAAAAGGAGATAAAATTCATACCATTTACAAAATAAATTGCACACATGAACTGTAACAGACATTACATCGGACAAAATGGACGTCCCCTTCGAACAAGAACCCCAGGGGACACAAATCAGGTGTGAAAAGACATGTGCCAGAGAATTATTAGAAGCCTGGTACTCAAACGAATATGCAATTAACAAAACATGTTAATATAGACCATATATACCAACTAATAAAAACTAGATCATGTGGACAGAAAATTTAAAATCCAAGTCAATAGAAAATGATCAATATAGATGTAAAGATGGTTACCGGGAGACGCAACTCTATCACTCATAGAAAATTTAAATCACTTCAATTTATGCTAAAAATTGTGCTGAAGATGTGGTCCAGAAGGACGACGAAAGCTCCGCAACTAAACCAACCAGCTCAAACAACACAACTAATTGCAAATAAGAAGATGAAATTTGTCGGAATCGTGTAATGTATTTGCACAACACATTTCGAACAATCTGATCAAACACTGAATTGTCATAGAAATATATATGAAATTAATAAAGAATTAATAGGTGAGAAAATACACTCAGGTCAAGCTAAAAGCACATATTGAAAGTGAAAATAACAATGAAGGTCACTAAACCAAATAACAGAGGTAATAGTACATCTACCGTGGCTGGTATCAAAACAAAGTTTAGCATGGAAGTTGGTTTAGTGTGATGACGAATTGTTGCTTTGAACGCATAAAGGTGGTTTAAACTTTCTAGTTGCTAGGAATTCCGCACACTTTAGGTCTCCTGTTCTCACGAATAATAAGTTCTGAAGATTCTCATTGCCATTAAGTTATATGCTTTGAAGCCGGTCCTTACTTGCAGAGATCGATGAGTCCTCCCTATGTATGTTTGTCCGCATTTACATTCAAATCGGTAAATACAGTGGGATGTGACATCATTTTTCGCCTGTTCAAAAGGGTTTTGATGGATGGATATATTGGCTTCACATTCCCAGTTACTATGATATTAGCAGCAGTTCAATCAGTTATCAAGCTGCCACGATACCCCATATAGGGTAGTTTGATGTACACGTCTTTCTTATGGGCGAGTTGTAGAATGTGTCTTGGTGTTCTGACTACTTTATATCTCCTGATGAACTTGTCTGGATAATTGTTATCAACCAGAGTTTGTGTCAAATTTGCTACTTCTTCTTCATCAAGTGTGTCTTCAGTGGATATTCGCTGGATTCTACTGAAGAAGCACTTCGCTCACTGAGGATCTTTTGTTCCGAACATGGAAGAAACTGTGGTAATTAAAATACTGTCCTCTCCAGGTAAGTTTTCTATAAATACATCTTTCTATTGACCCACCAAGCCGTCGACTAAGCAAAATGTCTTAGAGAGATAAACAAATATCTTCCTTATTCAAGTGATTGTCTGCAGGGATTTGATTGGTTACAGGATTTCATCATGAGCTGACATTTATTAGAGAACCATTGGAAAACCTGGGAGTATTGGACAGCTTTTTCGTCCTGGTTTGGGACTCTTCATCACAACGCAGCCACCAGGGTTCGAACTCAGGACCTTCTGGTTACAAGGCGAGCTCGTAGACCATTAGGCCATTCGGACCCGACCCAATAGCCAACCCATGAATTCTAACATCAACCAATTCACGACATAGCGCGGCCATTAGCTGATGTCTTCGGCGAGAATTATCTTCTTCTTCTTCAGATGTAAGCGATATGCTATTCAAAACTTCATTCATTCGATTTAAAATTTAGGTGGCAGAACAAGGCTTATCACTTATGATTACAATATCATCTACATATCTCCTATAAAGTGGCACATTTTTGGTTAAATCATCCGATAAACTCTCAGTGTATGACATATAGATATATCTGCTAAAAAGGGCCCTAACTGACTTCCCATAGCAACACCATTAAATTTAATTGTTTCACTTAACTATAACCAAACTTTTTTCTTCATTTCTTATGTTGTAATTGGAACACGAGGTGTAAATAGCAGTTATAGTTGTTTTGCTGCGAAGTAGAAAGCGTACAAAGTTATCCAGCAAAATCGATCGATTTAAATATCTTATTTTAAACTACTCCATTTCTCCAGTTTACTCATATTTCTGGCGGCGTGTTTCAACTACTGCGCTACTTAAACCTCCGTCTAACAGTAAAGCATTCAAATTTTCTCCATTTGTTACTTCTTAATTCTTGCAATTATATACTTGGATTGAAACATGTATCTGCGCGAATTTCTAATTAGCTACCAATCCAGCCCTGTCCACTTCTAAATGAAAATGAGGGAAAACTGTCATTCCAAAAATATGATGTTACATAATACGACCTATTGGAAAATAACATATACTGGAACATTTTATCTGAGCCACACTAGGAGGTAAGCACTAATCAGGCAGTCATTATTATTGTTCACTTAGGCTCCGAATGGAACATAGAACTGACTTCAAAAACAAACCTTCACTTTGCTCTTTTCTCCACATTCCTATTCAGATGACTGACCCCACGATTGCACAAACTCTCTCTCTCTCTCACCTCCTCCTTCAACACACACGATCTCCTCAATTTCACTCTCACACCAACGAAAAACTCGTCGCTTCCCATTCAGATTCCACTCGACCGATGGTCTGCATTCCGCGTGATGTCATCCGACGATTTCCCCAGTGCATTCCCGATCAATCCATCTCCATTTTCTCCTACATGTTTGTGGAGCGATCGGCTCTCGCCTGTCGGTTTGCTCTCAGACAGATATTCTTGTTCCTAAATCTCTCACATTCGCCACCTGGTCTTCAGTATGGAACCAGCGAAGTAGGCAGCTGTTGAGGAAAGTCTGCAACATTCTGTTGGAAATCCTTTTCGTGACATGCTGGTCAAGTTTCAGATCCGTATAGAAAGACCGACTTGACATTGGTGTTGAAAATCCGAATCTTGATTTTCACGTTGGTTGAGAGAGGCAGACGATCTCGAAGACGATTTCAGACTGATGACGGCGTATCTTGCTTTTCATCCGTTCCAACTGCTTGTGGTTGAAACCGTGCTTCCTGGCCGATGAGTGTAACCAGGAAGTAACCTCTGTCAAATAACTCTCCCGTTGATGGTGACTGGTGCTGGTTGTTGCTTCTGTCGCTGTTGGTTGGTTGGTTGGTTTTCTTCATCACCTCCGTCTTCTTTATGTTCACCTGCAGTAGTGTTTTAACTGCCGACATCCTCAGCGAGTTTGTCGGTTGCCGGCTGTATTTCTCCTCAGGAAATTGTTCGGTAAGAATTCTCGTACTGTGTTTAAAATTACTTTCAACAATTGAGCTAATATTAGTTCAAGAATCACCAAAATATTTCACTTGTAACTTATTTGTCAATGATGAGCATACACAAGAGTTTTACAACCAGACACGACTATTTTAATGTGTTAAAATAACCAAAGGGCGTTTTCAAGGCAATTGTGGTATGCTAGACAAAATGTTTAACACAAATAATATTACAGGAAAATCAAAAAAAGCTTTTAACTTATGTTTTTCTGTGGAAGCCACCTTAGCTTCTTCTTCTTCTTTAGCAGAATTAGTTGGATCTTAATAACTATTAAAATATACAGTCAAAAAATTACATAGATTGAAGGTTATTTGTCGGTAGAGTCAGACAAGGCTGTCTATTATCACCGACGATATTCTTAGTTATAGCGAACTGGATTACTCTCCAGAGTGTAAGGAGCAAGGAGACAGGAGAACACTGGACCACCGGTAAGATGACTCTAGAAGGTTGGGATTTCGCAGATGACATATGTGCGTCGGTAGTACAGTGGTTAGGACTCTTACCGACCATTCACATGCCGATGTACACCTGATACCTATGGTTGGCCTGCAAGATTTGGGCTACTGATATCACATGCTGAGAATTCCATACCTGTACCAAAAAATACGGTGTGGAATCAATCTGTAATCGAAGAAATATAATGACAAACATAAATTCGAAGACTTTAATGCTGGCTAAAGCCGACAAACTCGCTGAGGATGTCGGCAGTTAAAACACTACTGCAGGTGAACATAAAGAAGACGGAGGTGATGAAGAAAACCAACCAACCAACCAACAGCGACAGAAGCAACAACCAGCACCAGTCACCATCAACGGGAGAGTTATTTGACAGAGGTTACTTCCTGGTTACACTCATCGGCCAGGAAGCACGGTTTCAACCACAAGCAGTTGGAACGGATGAAAAGCAAGATACGTCTTCATCAGTCTGAAATCGTCTTCGAGATCGTCTGCCTCTCTCAACCAACGTGAAAATCAAGATTCGGATTTTCAACACCAATGTCAAGTCGGTCTTTCTATACGGATCTGAAACTTGACCAGCGTGTCACGAAAAGGATTTCCAACAGAATGTTGCAGACTTTCCTCAACAGCTGCCTACTTCGCTGGTTCCATAATGAAGATCAAGTGGCTGACGTGAGAGAATTAGGAACAAGGATATCTGTCTGAGAGCAAACCGACAGGCGAGAGCCGATCGCTCCACAAACATGTAGGAGAAAATGGAGATGGATTGATCGGGAATGCACTGGGGAAATCGTCGGATGACATCACGCGGAATGCAGACCATCGGTCGAGTGGAATCTGAATGGGAAGCGACGAGTTTTTCGTTGGTGTGAGAGTGAAATTGAGGAGATCGTGTGTGTTGAAGGAGGAGGTGAGAGAGAGAGAGAGTTTGTGCAATCGTGGGGTCAGTCATCTGAATAGGAATGTGGAGAAAAGAGCAAAGTGAAGGTTTGTTTTTGAAGTCAGTTCTATGTTCCACTCGTATCCCAAGGGAATAATAATAATTTGCCTTCTTTTGCATCAACTCTGTCTGCCTGGGATTCGATATTTTTTGCCGGTGGACGTCTGTTTATACATATACTACTCAGTAATCTTATCAGTAGAGCACACCAAATTTCCTAATTAGGTATGTTGAATTTTAAATATCACACACGACTACTGATGTCAGTCAGTCAGTAGTATATATGTGTATTTTGTAAATTCCTGGATCTAGAATTGAGAAGTCCCTCCATATTAGGAGTACAGACTATGTGAGTAAATTTCTCCATGCATTTATTTCCCTTGATGAATTTGAATAAAATCAAGAACAACAGTGGAGGTTGGTGCAGAATAAGGTGATGGTAACATCACATCGTTTATTTCGTTGGCATCTCATCAGCTGCTGCCTACAGCCCAAATAAATTATGAGGTTTATGTGCAGAGACAGTTTTAACAAGCAAGTTTTGTCCCATGATGTCAATTGACAGAAGGTTTGGCAATTACTGAACAGTGCTCAGAAAATCGTGCTTACTGTTCTTCCAATGTATCTGTGAGAGCAGTTACATTAGCAGAACAGAAAAAAGAGCACACCTCCTATTCTCGAAGCATTTGCTGAAAAGCTTATGTCTCATGGGAACAAACTCTTATAGTAGAGCTATTACCAGACATCTTCTCGATACGGGTCACGAGGTGGAAGTCGCGAAATCCTTCAAAATTATCATTAGACAAAGGAGCTCGATTCTTCTTAAGTTTCCCGAAGGAATCTCTATCAAGTGCTTGAGGCCAGATTTATCTGTTCAGAAAGAAGCAGTTATTAGTCTTTTCTTGCCCTGACTGGTAACTGGATGCCTTTATTCTCTCTTTCATTTGATTACATAATCTTTGGCCTTAACGTCACCTCTCTTTGACATAGTATAATTTTACTTGTCTCTTGTTTCTATAATTTGAGTTGAACTCAGTACATTGTTACCTAATTTATTAGTCACTTTAAATCTCACGCATCTCTCGTCTGCACTACGTAACTCCTTTACCATTGTATGCATACATTTATTTTGTTTAAACTTTGTCTCCCTGTGTAATTTTCTGAGCACTGTCCACGAATTACGGAACTTTCTGCCAACTGACATCATGGAAAACAAAATTTGCAAATATGTTAAAAACTGTCTCTGTACATTGACGTCATAATTTATTTAAGCTGTAAACAAGCAGCTGGTGAGCTGATGAGAAGCCAACGAAATAAACAATGTGATGTTACCAACACCTTATTCTGCACCAACCTCCGCTGTTGTTCTTGCTTTATTCAAATGTATATGTACATTCATATGCTTAAGACTTACCTCGTAAACAATGAGTGAATCGACTCCAACAACTATATTGATCTGGATCAGCTCTCTTTATTGTTGATTGATTTGGTTTGATTTCTGAAAGATTAATTTTTTCCATATTTCTGTCATATATATTATCAATATCTTGAGAATTTATCATCATTGCATTATCAAAAGCCATGCTGTTAAATTCTTTCTCGGATAACATGAATTGTTTGTCTGAACTCTTTGATGCCATGACTACTGGAGGCTTTTTTAAATAAAGAAAATAAGCAAAGAGGGAAACGATGATAAATAAATAAGCCTAAATATATTCATTCAGTAAAGTTTTATCGTGGATAATTTCATTCAAATATGTGGTTTTGGAGAGATGTGAATAACTCGAGGTAACTTCATTTAGTTAGAAGACTATTCGAAAGCCATAGAGTACTGGAGAGCTGTTTCCTCCATATCTGGGACTCTTCGTCAGTATGCACCTGAGGGCATATTAGAAACAGAGATCTTGATAAATTATCAACACTGGGCCTAGCGATTCAGAGGTGAGGACGAATATTTGTCGATAATATTTATATCATAAATTCGCAGAACTTCGAAATCATGGGTCGGATATTAGGTCCTATCCGTGTAGCTATAGTATGTGTAAGCACTGATAAACAGTTCAGTACTTCTTGACTAAGTCTAAGTGATGTACAGAACACTAACCTCAACAGTTGGGTACCTCTAGAGCTCACAATTCGAGAAGTCTGCTCTATAGATCCAGAAACTAGAAAACTTTAGCGTAACTCTTTTTGTTAATGGATACCGCATAAGGTTTACCGACAGAAACATTAAGAAAGAAACAATCCCTAGACAAATCAGAATGCCAAAGGTGAAACTATCACTGAAGTGAATAAAAGTCATTTATCTAAATGTATTAAAGGCTCTTTTCATGCAGCCCACCTACATTGAGTATCTAGCAGCCGAAATATGATTTGACAATGCGACAAGGATAAACTACCGCTTATGTCCACCTCTTTCATATGCCCATGTGGAGATGATTACATTGGAAGTTGCAGCTGAACAACGGTTACTCTGGCTGAGCGCTTATCGTTGTAATAATGAAGTGAAGACGAAATCAGAGAGATAATCTTGGAATGGAAGTATAGGTCAGTTTACCAAACGAAACTTTGGAATTATTTGCTTCAATATCTCTGAGATTTCTACGAACACCGCAATGTTTAAAGCTTTCTTGTCTGTTTTGATGCCATAAGTTAACCAAAGATGAAAGATATGCTGTATATAGGAGCGTTGGTGGCACAGTGGTAGAATGCTTGACAACCATGCGTCTCGTTCGGGGTTAAATCCCTGGCCGACGACTCATTTCCTTTACTTCACTAAACCGGTAATCAAAATGGTATAGAGGGAAGTTTGAGTGGTGCTACAGAAACTTCAAGCCATATGTCCCGGTGAGAACGTGAAGGAATTAACAGAGAAGGGAATATGGGTTCTAGAAACTTTTAGAACAATAGCACATTTCCATATATATATATATATATATATATAGAGAGAGAGAGAGAGAGAGATCATGGGACTTGCCGGGATCTGTATTAATTTCGGAAGTCAAATTTTTTCACAAACCGAAATCAGTTACAGAACCATGGATCAATAAGCAGCTGTTTCATCCCATTTTGGGACTCCTCAACAGTGAGCACCGGTGACTACACCAGGGATCGACTCCTACCCCTTCACATTACGAGACTAAGCTTGTTAACCATCCAGCTATTTGAGCTCCAATTCAGTGATCTGTGAATTCTAAGTTTGTCAATCCTCGTGACATAACGCTACCATCAACCATGGAATCTGATTCGTATCTAATAGGATCCGCGCAAATCAGCTGTCCAGTGCTCACTGGCTCGCAGTCATTCATTCTAATTGAAAACACTTAGCAATTCATGTTTACATATTTTCAAGTTTAGTAATTGTCAATCGTCTAAGCAAAAACACAAAACCGATTAAATGAATACCTCAACCAAACACCAGACAACTATTAATCCTCTGTCTTCTTCTTCGCCCATATTCCTTCCATTCACTGTTGCATATAACGCTTGAAGCTTAAGAGTTTCAGCAGCGGTGACAATCCTTCTTTACTGGATTAAGCAAGATCTACGGTGTGGTTTGTGCAGAATAAAATGGTAACATCATTTACTTATTTATTTCGTTGGCTTCTCATCAGCTGCTTACAGGCCACAGTCATTATTAAGTATATCTACAGAAACAATTTTAACATACTTGCACAGACAGTTCATTTCAAATAAAAATCAATCAATCGATCAATATATGCATATAGTGATAATATATATATATATATATATAAATATTAAACACTATTACAAACTATAATGATCATCCACAATGGAAACTTTCTGCATTACATAATCAGATGAAAGAGAGGGTGAAAATATCCAGTTACCAGGCAGTGCAAAGAAAGACTGATAACCACTTCTTTCTGAACGCATAAATCAGGTTTCAGGTGCTTAATGGAGATTGCTTCAGTAAACTTGTGGCGAATTGAACTCTTTTGCATAACCGATAACTCTGAACGCTCTTGTGACGTCCACTTCATGACTTGTGTCAAGGAGATGCCCGGCAATGGCACTGTTTAAAGCACTTGTTCCCTTTAGACATTAGATTTTTGGTACATGTTTAGAAAATCGTATATATCACCTTCGTTGAAAGATCGTTTAAAATTATCAATAGGCAAAAGAGTTTATTTCTCCGCAAGTTTACTGAAGCCATCTTCATAAAACGCCTGAAACCTGATTTATGTGTTCAGAAAGAAGCAGTTATCAGTCTTTCTTTGCTCTGTCTGGTAACTGGATATTTTCGCCTCTCTTTCATCTGATTATGTAATGCAGAAAGTTTCCATTGTGGATGATCATTATATATGTATATATATTATTATTGCCGTATGCATATATTGATTGACTTTTGTTTGAAAGTATGTTAAAATTGTTTCTGTAGATATATTTAATAATGGCTTTGGCCTGTAAGCAGATTAGCTGATGAGAAGCCAGCGAAATAAATCAATGATGGTACCATTTTATTCTGCACAAATCTCCACTGTTGTCCTTGCCTTATTCAAATTCATTAAGGAGTCTTTTGCACAAGCTTTCCCCTTTTATAACAGGTTTCGGAATATGTCGACCTGCAATCGAATATACCTGGCTGACCAGCATTCCACACCTGAGTCATCGATACTAATCAGTCAGTTTATGCATTCAGTGTGTAACTTATTCGGCTAGGTGTATTATCATTCTTGATTCACTAAGTGACTGACTGGCTGGCTGACTGAATGACTGACTGACTCACTCGCTCCTATACATCGAAAAACCATAATAAACCAACCAAGTGACAGCAGTTTGTAAACAGTTAGGGAACTCTTAATTACATCAACTTTATTCTGGAGATAATATCCACAAAAAAATTGATCCACCTTATCTATCACCACTAGTAACATGACTATATATTGCGATTAATATAAAATTTAAATCACACTTATCTAAAAAGTGAACATTGAAACTTACTCACAATTAATAATTAAATAATTAGGATTAATTCCGTGTTTTGTCTTTTTTTGTGTGTTAATTTCTTTTAAAAAACCATAACATACAACATATTCAAATATTCTTGACAAGTTTTGTGAAATTGTTGAAATTATGAGTTGAATTAATTATTTTAGTGAATTAATAGTGGATTGATTCATTGAATACATTGAACATTGTTGGTAAATTAACCAATCAAATTTAAATATTATTTTACATGTGTTCTAAAATGTATATATTAAAACAATTAAAAAATAATAAAGAAAAAGCATAATAAACAGAATTACAATAAATTAAAATAGCAGCAAATAATAATAACAATAACAGTAATAAGAATAAGAATAATAAAGGCAATAACAATAGTTACAATGGTTACCATGGTAATTTTGATCATGTTTGGTGAGGGCAAATAATTCTTCTGAAAGGTTGTCCCTATATATTTGTCACATGTATTTTTTAACAAAACAGTTAAATAGTTTGGATAAAATGGACAATATTTCTGGTGTTTTTAATTTCGTTTATTGATTGATACTATTGTTTCTACATTGAGGAAAAAGGCCATTTTGAATTTAGGAGCGAAATTCTAATATATATATATATATATATATATATATATATATATATCAGTGGCCAGTGGCACAGTGGTTAGGACTCTCGTCAACCATGTACATGGTCCTAGTTTCGATCCCCTGCTGACGCACACCTGATATCTATGGTCGGCCTGCAAAATTTGGGCTACTGATATCCACGCTGAAAATTCCATACTTGTACCAAAAATGCAGTGTAGAATCAAGCTGTAATAAAAAAATGATGATAGTGCGAATTGAAATGTTTAATATATATTAGAAGTATGAGTCACAGATATTTGTAATTCATAGTGGTATTATATAACAGTACTCTGGAATAATCTACAAATAACTTGTACTATATTTTCGGTGTTTTATATTTTCAGTAGACATGGGGTTGTTGTTTTTTGTGAATTGGTCTTTCCAACCGAGAGGCACACTGGTAATGTTTAGCTGTAAAGAGAATGCCGAGAAAATACATTGCACTGATCAAGGCATTCTACTCGAACTCATGCGGTCAGCGGGCCAGGTAAGAGCTTACGGGGAGTTGTCATCTGAACTGGTGACAACTAATGATGTCCGACAGGGATGCCCACTGTCCCTATTTCTACTAATTGGCTTAACCCTAACTCACTTCAGAGACGCAGGTATTGACTTGTTACTATCAGAGAATAATCTCGCTGACTTAGAATATGCAGATGTGATATAGCCCTTCTAGGTGAAGACGCTGACAAAATCCAGCAGAGTCTTCTGAACACCTTGAGCTACAATCTACAAATGTTTGGCATGCGATTCGCCCTCGTCGAATGTAAGATGATGTTACATTAGTGGACCAGGCTGACTTCTAGCTTAGAAATAGGGAGTGAAGTGGTAGAGCGTGTTGAACACTTCACTTATTCGAGAAGTTGCATCAGCCAGTGCCAACGGGTTGATCGCCGACGAAATCTCAGCACGGATACAGAAGGCTAGTTTGGCATATACCGTCTCTGACGTAGACGTGATATCCAACTGGCTATGGACCAGAGGGCGTGTGTACTGCTCAACAGTTCACTCCATCCGCCTTTACGGCTGTGAGTAGGACATGACCAATG